CAATCTTTAACAAGATGATACAAAGCATAGAAATTTGTGATATAAATGCCACCATGTGCATGTGATTGTAATTAAAATGTTTTTAATATTCTTTTTACCATATGAAATATTAAAATTTTGAAAAGTCTTTTCTTTAAATTGAACCAGTAAAATGTCGACACATTCCAAAAGTTTTGAGACTTTTTTCAGACACATTTATTTCAAAGTCCAAATCTTGTTCAAAGTAGGATTCCCTGACTTCAATGCACTTGTTATAGCACCTCCAGCCACTTCTTGAAGGCTCCTCTATGGGAGTCATCCAAAGTGAAGGTATTCAGGCCCCTTGTCACAGCCTCCTTCATCTTCTCAGTGTCTTCAAAACTGCCACTTCAGTTTGAAGAACAACCAAAACTCAGAGGTTAGCAAGGTCTGGATTGTAGGGAGGGTGAGAACTAGTTTTAATAACCATTTCCCTGCTGTCACCAACGCATCTTTCCTTCTGTTCATCACTGAGCATCCTGGGAACAAATTTTGCACAAGTTCAGATCTTCATGAATAATTCTGTGTACATTTACCACACCAACTCCAAACTGTATACTTATTGTCTTTAGAGACACATAATGATCTTCATCTAGAAAATTGCAAATTTTCTCAACCATCTCTGATGTTCTGGCATCCACGTCTACATTGCCTCCCTCCCACATCGATCATTATCTCTCACATCCTCTCCCTTGTCCTTGAACCTCTTGTACCAGAGGAAATCAGATGCTCAGCTCATACAAATTAATTGATCAACAGTTTGGAGCATTTCATACAATTCTGTAGCATTTTTCTTAGATTAGCACAAACCTTTATTGCATAGTGAGCTTCCAAGTTGGCTTCACATCCTGACTACATTCTGCAAACTTGTCCACTGTGATAAGCAGTTTTTAGCAGGGTGTGTTCAAAGAGCCGTTACAACCTTCACCTTCAATCTAGAATAACAAAAGTTGGCAAGTCAACTTATTATAAAGTAACTATATGCTGAAACTACAATAATTTAGGAAAGTTATAATTGTCTCTCCAAAAAAATATCTCAAACCTTCTTGAATGCAACTTGTAAATTTCTCACTAATAATAATTATCATAAAGTTTTAAGGAATTAAAATGGACATATTTCACCTATCATCTGGTTCACATTCCTCTTTGGTCTTTTGAACAGGAGTAGATGTTTATCCCTTGATTTCTGTTTAAGATAGGGTGTTCCGGTTGCTTCTAAAGTCTTTTTCATTCTCTTTCAATCCCAGTAGCCCCTTGCATGTTAGTGGCACTGTTGTCTTGCTTGGGGTGAATTGATTAAAAAAATAAATAAATAAATAAAAGATAACAATGATAAAAAAAATGTCCTGTCTATTTGCGTATACTGTGGATTGGTAATGCCAATGCCAGGTTTGCTTGGCAGATTCCTGCTGCTGTGAAAAACTCTTACCTGTCTGCCAGTCCATGTATTATCTTTACTGTCCAACCAATGTTAAGATTGATGTGAAAGGAAGTTTTACATCACCCCTCTGTTAGTTCTGTAACTTAGTTTAAATATCAGTGCAGTGTGCTAACTACATAATATCAAATGGGTCAGGGATTGGAATATTTGTTTGTGGGTTTGCACTCAGACATTTGATGTTTTTAAGTTTCCTTGTTAAATAGAACGTAAAGAGAGTTTCTTCCTGTTAGTCAAGCAGGTTCCTTACTTGTGCCATTCTGGCATCCAATTGTTGACTATTTATTAAATCAGGCTAACAAGAAATATTTCTAATCAGAGCTTTCCAAATTGGTGTCTGTTAATTACTGTTAATTAGCCATTCTTTATTGACTTTTCCCAATACTTCAAACAAAAGATTAGAAAGAAACCCCTCCCCTTACAGTCAATGCTAGAAAAAGTGGACTTGAGAAATTTGTTTTCTAAAAAGATTTTGTAAATTTCATCCAGCAATAATGTTAACTGTTTTTTTTTTTTTCTAAAGTGGCAAGTTCTCCATGTTCTAAAACGTCAAATTCCGTGATGGTAAATTTCAATTTTCCGTTTGTGTTTCAGAATCATAAAAAACAGATGAAAAACAGACTTGTGTGTAAACAGTAATATATACAAGTATATAGCTTACTTATATAAGCATCATTATTATTTTTGTGCGTCAGCAATTTCTGATGATCCACAATTGTGTCCCTCAGAGTCCCATCTATAGTGTGCTGACAAAAACTGCAAAATAATTTATCGTCATCATGATAAAAATTATCACAGAAGCTGGCTCTTCAGCTCTGTATTTTGCCAAAATTGTGCACCAACCAAGTTTGCTAGTTTTTCGTTTACTCATCGTGAAAGATAATCAAACTAGCATAAAATTCTAATTTAATTACTAAACAAACAACAACTTATATTTTTACTACCCTTGATGGCACTTACCATGCTGTTCATATGCTAAAATTGTACATGGGAATGACTAGTTTTGGCCAAGTTAATATCATGAATTAGGTTATGGTGTTTGTGCAGTACTGGGATCATTAGTGGAAAATACCCCATGTTATTTATAGAATAACATATTGCCACAATACAAGTCATTGTGCATAAGTGACTGACTTCGCTGTGTATTGCAAATTTATGCAAAATAATGATTCTGTTGAGTTCTATCTTAGGAATTTTACATTTTACAGTTTTTTACATGGCAAAAATCCAGTTATCCATTTTCTACTTTATTTCTGTGTTTTTTTTTTGTTTTTTTTCAGAGAACTTTCAACTCTAGTTTAATCAGTGAATTTCATTTTTTTATATTTCATTGAATCATTTCTTTGTTTTTGTTTTTTTTTATAGACATTTGAAATTATTTTTGGTTTGGCTTACAAAATTTTTGTCACAAAATTTCTTTTAATTTTCAAGTTAGTTGCCAATGCAGAATATTTTGAAAAATTGGTCATTATCCTACATGAAATATAAATTTTTTGATTGGTGGAATAAGACTACTTAAAAACCCAGAAGAAAAATTATGAATACAAGGAAAAAAGTACATTTGTCTACTAAAAATATCTGTAACATTCCAGGTACCAAAAAATGTTCACACACAGAATAGGAATTTTTATCCATTTTATATATATATATATATATATATGGGGTGAAAGATAAATTGTCATTTAAATTACAAAAAAATGAAAATAACACTGACATCTCATTTTAACAGATATATTTACCAAAATTACACAATATCTTGAGTACATTTATTCAATAAAATCGCCATTGGCTTCAACCACGGCCACCAGGTGACTTCAGAATCCCCTGCACCTCTTCTGGATAGTCTCCTTGTTTAAGTTGGTGAATGCTACCATAATCCTTGCCTTCAGGTCACAAGGAGTTTTGTTGGTCTCTCAACTGCGCCCCACACATAATAATCAAGGAGGTTGCAGTCTGGGGAGTTAGGTGGCCAGATGTAAGGGGTGATGTGGTTGCAGAAATTGTCTGATTGCCATGACTGGGTTCTCCTGCTTGTGTGGTATAGTGTAGAGTCCTGTTGTCAGACAGTCTTCCAGCAACCACCTTCTTGATCCAGGGCAGCACTACTTCCTCAAGACACTTGGTGTAGGCCTGTGTGTTGAGTCTGAGGCTCTGTGGGAAGATGAATGGAGGCATAATTTTACCATCGCTAGTGACCACTCCAAACACCTTCATAATCACCATTAGACTCATCCAACTCTTTCTGAATCCTCTGCACTGTCCTCAGATTGACACCCAAACACTCTAAAATGTTTGTATAGGAGCTTCCAATATGAATGCCAAGCAGTACAGTATGCCGTTTCCAAATTTTGGGCAGAGTAAATTGTGTCATGGTGCTTTTTTTTTCTCATAGATGGTGCCCAACTGATCTTACTATACTATGCAGTCAACAAAATCAAAAACAAACAAATGCACATGTGCAAAATTAAAGATATAAAATGGCGACAATTTATTCATCGCACCCTGTATATATGGAAGAAATAAATCTAACACATTTCACTTTAATAGATTTATAAATGTTTCCTATTTGTTCTTCATCCTATCATTGTCAGATTCCAATCCATATATATATATACACACACACACACACACACATCCTGACAAGTGGACAAAGTAATTGATGGAGGGCTTGTCTACAAAATCTTGGAGTCAGGATGCTGAAGGTAACATCAGTCAGCTAAGTGACAAACCTTTTACATGTATTAATTCTCTCTCTCTCTCTCTCTCTCTCTCTATCTATCTATATATATATATATATATATATATATATATATATATATATATTCTTTACTTTATCCAAAAGTATTATTTATTTTTTTTTTATTTCTGCAGGAAATCCTTCATCTTTGGATAAAAAGTAAATGTCAACCATTGAATGACCTATGACCCTTGGTGTTCTACAGATCTGCAATATTAACAACAAGGAGATATGTTGCTTGTGGAAGGGAATCTAGCAAAAAAGGACGTTCGTTAACATTTTTATTTGCTTCCTTAGAGTATATAATCTAAAAAAGAAACAATTTTAAAAAAAAAAAAAAAGGTGAAAATATCAACAGAGAAACATTTGTGTCTTAAAAGAGTGAAAAATCAATCTTTTTGTTGCTGGTTTTTCTTCTCTTTTTTTTTCTTCTTTTTTTTTTTTTTTTTTTTTAATAAGTGGGCCACATCAGCCCACTTCAGGTATGTTTTTGCTCAAGAACATTAGTGAAAATAGCAGTGAAACTAAACAATGACAATTACAAGTGATGTTTGCATGAAACTTTTGAAAACCTTTTTCTCTGCATCTTGTATAAATGGAAAGATTTTAACTTAACAGTTTCTGATCAAATAATCAGCTCTACCAAAAAACAATGACAGGTCAGTTTTCAAATATTTCAATCACTGACATCTGGGATTAAGATACAGTCACAAAAGAAACTTAATTCAGATATTTTCTTTATATACAGAAATAATATAATCCAAACAACAAAAACTTTTAAATTTTCTAACATTAAGAAGAATCAAAATGAAAAAGCCACCAAGATGTGATATTTGTGGGAAGGTTTTCTCTCGCCGGGACAACATGGAGAGACACAAAAATCGCCACCTTCATCGGGAAGTTTACCCCTGTGACCTGTGCGGCCGCCCCTTCTCTCAAAAGTCGTACCTGAAGTTGCACAAAAGAATCCATAGTGGAGAGCGGCCATTTGGCTGCAATATCTGCGGACATGCATTTTCACGTAACGACCATCTAGTAATCCATATTCGTGGACACCAAGGACTAAAACTTTTCAAATGTGAGGTGTGTGGCAAGTCTTTCTCTCGGCGTTCATATCTGACTGTCCATGAGCGGATCCACACTGGTAAACGGCCCTACCGATGCCATGTGTGCGGCTGTGCCTTCTACCGTGGAGACCACCTTGTACGGCACAGACGGAAACAGCATGGCGAGGAACCAGTGCCTGCTACAACGACTATGTATGTGACCACTGCAACTACAGCTGCAGATGGGACGCAAACAATTTATGCACAGACAAATCCCCAGCTAGAAACTCATCTACAGCCTGTAAATATCCAAGTGCAGATAGATGGCCAAGAGCTCAAATGTAATGATTTTATCATCAGTAACATCACCAGCGGTAATAACGTTGAACAAGTTACCACCGATGGTGTGATTCAGGCCAGCTGCAGCGGATGTAACAGTGGTTGCACTGGTATCAACTGTTGTGATGAGCAGGAGCAGCAGCAGGTTTTGGCTGTTGCTGGAGCCGTGGCAAAGATTGAGGAGCAGCAGGAACCTCCAAAGGTTTTTGACAATGCCTTACCTTCTAACATAGTGGTAATGCAACCAGCAGATGTGAGTAGGTTGGTAGTTCAACAAACTCCACCTCAGCCCACGCCACCAGCAACACTGCCATTCAAGTGTGACTATTGTGGTAAAACGTTCTCACGCAGGGACAATCTGGAGAGGCATAAGACCACCCACCTTGACGAGAAGCTCTTCAAGTGCAGTGTATGCAGTAAAGCATTCTCTCGAAAGTCTTACTTGACAGTACATCAACGCATTCACACTGGTGAGCGACCATTTAAATGTGATACCTGTGGACATACATTTTCAAGGAAAGACCACTTGCTGAAACACCAGCGGACAAAAGAAGGGGAACGGAAATTGAACTGTGCTGGAAGTACCTCACAACAACAACAACAACAGCAGCAGCAGCAGTTGCAGCAGCAGCTGCAACAGCAACAACTACAGCAACCTCAAACCCAATTGGTTACCCTGACAGCAAAAGATATAGCTGTAACCAACCAGCCGACAATGATAACCCTTTCACACCCGGCTGGTATTACTACAGACAACAATAATATTGCTGTGGCAACCCATCATGGGGTTGCAGCCCCCAAAACGCAGGTGTATCACACTATAGCAAAGATGGGGCCTGGTACTGCCACAGCTGTGCCTGTATTTCCAACAACCATTGAAATATCACCAGCAACAACACAGATCTTTCCAACAATACAGATGTATACAACTGCACAACTAAATGTTCCACAGGCAAGAGCAAGAGACACTTCCTGGTGATTTGCAAGAAATTTTGATTTGAAAGAACAAAACTGAAGAAATCTGGGTATGGGGTAGGCAGAGAGAGAGGTGGTAATAATTTTTTTTTTTTTTATTGGCTTGTCATTTAAAAAAAAAAAAAAAAAAAAATTCTCCATTATTCGTGAAGTTAAATTCAATCTTTAAACCTGGAGGTAAATTTTCAAAGTCCTATTTATAAAAACAAAACAAAAAAAACCCCCAAAAAACATGCATTCACCAAAACTTGCATAATTTTGAAGTTATTTTTTACTTGATCCTCATATTTTGGATAACTTTAAAAAAATGTTTGATTGTATTGATGAAATTGTAGAAAAACAAATATGAAAAATATGTCACATAGATAAATTTTTTAAATATGTTGCCTTCAGCACCCTGCTCTACCACACAATTCTTAAGTGTTTGTGTTGTTGTTGTTAACACTATTATTATTATTATTATTATTATTATACAATAAAAAAAATATTGGAGTTGTTCGTTTTTTTATTGTTGAGTGGGCAAAATGAAGCTACTTGTTAACCACAAATTTATTTTTTAAGTCTCCATATCCATCAGAAGGGAAAAAATCCTAAATCCAGTAAAAACATTGTGGAAAAAAACACCTCCAATTTTTTTTTTTTTTTTTTAAGCAGACCCACTAAAAATGAGTATTTTTTTTTTTTTTTTTTAAATAACATTTCAAGTGCTGTAGGGAAAACATACACATAATCAAGAGTTGATGTCATACCAAAATGGTTATTTGCTCTTGCATGATTGGATAATAAAGTGGGTTCGATCAAGCTATAAAAACAAAACAAAAAAAAAACAGTTGATAATTCATTTATTTTTATTGTTCTGGATTATTGGAAAGAAATAGGTTCAACATGTAAATAAAAGTAAAAAAAAAAATTACATTTCTAGCTTAAAAAGAAAAGTTATATCAATTTTTCTTCTTTTTATAAGTAAAAACTTAGAAATCAATCTAATTTGCAGAATAAAGATTTAAATAAAGCTGGTTTTCTGATAGAAATGATTTAATCATAGTAAAGCACTTGCTCAGAAGAGGCAATGAAATGTTAAAAACACAAAATCAATCACAAATTATTTCACTGTCCAAAGAAGAGCACAATATCTTCTTCAGCATGCATCAACAAATATAGAACTGTTTGAAAAAAAAAACATCAATCTTCACATCTATGCATTTTATTATAGTTGGAGAAAGTAAATTGGAATTGTTCTATGTTTAGCTATTTGGAGCAAGATACTCATCTTAGTTATTATGCTCACATTTCAGCCATTATACTCTCCGGCCTTCTTCAGTTAGGTGTCTGTCTTCATGGTCAATAACCTGCTTGTGGGTAGATTGTTCTCATTCTGCTTTCCAAAATGAAGAAATATTTGATGCCAAACTTATTCACCATTGTCCATTTCTTCCACTGAACTAGAGTATGTGATTTTTTTTTTTTTTTTAACACTACCAAACCTAGGAATTGAACTCACAGCTGTCAACATTGTGTATCTATTGAACTTATCTAATGTTTAATTTCTGGAGTCTTAAACCTAATGTATTCAGGTGGTATGAGTGTCCTGGCCCCTTAGGTATGATAAACAAACTTGATTTTTGATTGTTGTCTCCAAATCCTCTGCCCCTACTCACAAAAACTGATGTTATATTTGAAAAATAGTTACTACTCAGGAGGTTGTTTTTTTAATGTTGATCATCTCTTGTCAGTATGTGTCTAGGTTGTCACTTAAGAGTTTGGCCCAATGTTGTAGACAGTGGATGACCCCTTTTCTGACATTGAATAGATGACAGGAAATATTGTCCAGTGAATGTTGGCTTATGATACCCCATTACTCAGTGTGTCCATCCAGAAAAGCCATTAGATCTTCTCCCCCCCCTCCCATTGTGAGCTGTATGGAAGGTCTTTTTGAATTCACACAGTCTGGCAGTGCTTACACATCTTCCTGATGGGGCCAAAGTATGACGGTGTCATCTATCTAAACTACATAGTTGTCTTTAGCCACTTCCTTTAGGTATCCCAAGTATATATTGCCATTACTGGAGATAATGGCAATTGTTTGGGCTCAAGGGCCATGGTTAGCAGAGGGCCACACCTTCTAAAACATTAGTTAACATTACATTTCATTTAATGCAAAGTGTAAATTGCATAATAATAATAATAATAAATAAAACTAAAACAATAGTGGTACACAGAAAAGGTTTCATTAAATTTTATTTTATGTGCAAATTACACATCAGCCAACACAAGTAAATTAATGAGACAAATGTAAACGCTCACACTTTTTTTACAATTCTTTTGAAATCAGGAGTGAGGTTGCTTGCTGAGATCCTCATCACTGCCTGCAAGTTTAATTTAATTTTAATTTTCATGCAAGAAAACTTTGCTCACAAATATATGTGGATCCAGAAATAGCAAACATTTTCCCAGCAAATTTCTTCACACATGGAAATTTGTAAAATTCTATCAATGTCACTGAATTAAATATTTCTTTCAGTGTGTGATTTGACTGCATGTCAATTAGTTCAAGCTGCACCTCCTCAGGTACTGTATCAATATCAGCAGTGAAAGGATATAACAAATTGAATTCAGGCTCAATTTTCTTGAAGTCCTGAAATGTTCTTGTGACCCCATCCTCCAAACTCGGCAAATGATCTCTAGGAAGAAACACTTGCAGGCACTTTCTGTTTTCCTAAAAAAGGGAAAGGATAAAATTCACCCTCATCTGCTTGCCTTGCAAATAGACTTAGTTTTGTTTTGAATGAGCTCATATGCTTCAACATTTCCTGTGCAAACAGGCTCTTTCCCTGCAACATCATATTCAATTCATTTAATTTCTCAAAATATAGCTGCAAACATCATCTTGTATCTCCACTCACCACATCCCATTTGGTCACAAAATCACATGAAATCCTCTTTATGTCCAGAAAAAGGAAGATTTCATTCTGCAATTCCCAAACCCATTTTAAGACTCGACTACCGAAAACTGTTGTGGTAAATCACATCTCTATACACTGTCTCCATGTTCCCAAGCAAAGACTTAAATTGTTGATGGTTGAGTGTCCTTACTCTGATTGTTTTTACTACACTCACTACCACATGCTTTAGGTCATCCCTGTTCTTGCTTAGGATCTGTGACAGGTTCCTTTCGGTTTTCATAGTCAACTCTTTCTTTGCTCAACTCTAGCTAACATCTCCAACTGGGTTAGCCAATTCTTTTTGAGCATTCCAACTTGTACATTACTACTGTTATGTTTGCTTTTGTCTGCTGTCACTGTGATCTCAGTATCATTTGACAGGATTTTGATAGCAACTCTCTCGTGTTGTTTGATTTGGGAGGCTTAGCTTTCTCCAGTATCTGTCTCACTTTCCATCTCAACTTGTCAGCTCTGAGCTTGAAAGAGCCTCAGAACAGCTTTCTCAGTTGAGGGGCTATGACGTCTTCAGTATGCAAAGTGCTTGCTGACATTAGTAGCAAATTTGAGACCTTTGTTTAACACTACTTCTTAACTTAGTTATTTAACTGACATTTATTGATGCTGTCAATAATGGCTTTCATTGTTGTAACTCATACCATGATCTTTCAATCCCCTTCATAGTTTATGTATTTAGTGTGCCTTGATCCACTTAAATTCCTACTTGTCTAGGTCATGTTGAATTTGATGTCTATCTGCTCCCAACATTATTAGGAATAGTGCCATCTGGTCAGATAGTTCACTTTGTAAATGATGTTTCACCCAACAATTATGACGGATTCTTTTCCTAATCAGAGTGGGTCTTGCTTAGTCTACAACTGATTGTGCTCTTCTGAATTGTATTCACGATTGGATAGTTAAGCCAGTTTGAATAACATCTTCAGAGGAATGTAAGAGGGTTCGTTATTGATGGCATTTATCCAGCTATCTTGCTATTTGGACTAGCATGCTTATCTTGGTTTTTGTACCTGCAATGTTTCACCTGTTGTAGCCCCTTCATTTGTCTGTTTTCATACTCGTTAACCTTCTTGAAATTTTAAATCCAACCTTTTATTCGATTGGCAGGAGTAGATTGTTGTTCTTATTCTGCTTTCAAGGCAACGTAAAGATGTACAAAATTGATGAGTTTTAACTGAAATATCTTAAATATAATTTAACTGAAATATCCTCTAACCAGGGAAAGTGGAATGAGAAAAATTTCAACAGTCATTTGTGAGTTGTGGTTTGTTTATAAAATATATAATTTTGTATAATTTTATATATCAACAAACAGTATTTAGAAAAATATGACACATCACAAAAAAGGCTTTCCAGTTTGTCATATTTTTCTAAATATATAGATATTTTAAAAACTTTGTTGGAATTATATATCCTAATTTTAAAACATTTTATATATATATATATATATATATATATATATATATATAACCACAACATTCAATGTATGCATGCAGAAAGAAAAAAAATACAACCAAACACCAATAAATAGTGCATAAATTATGTATTAACTTCATATAAAAAGAACAAAAATAAGAAAATCTGCAGTCAATTGTTGAAACCTCCTGGTGAGTGGACCAAACGGTTACAAAAAGGTTTGTCTACAAAACTCTGGAGCCGAGGTGCTAAATAAAGCATCAATCATATAAGTGGATCCTGAGTTTTGTAGGCAAACCTTTTTGTAATCGTTTGGTCCACTCGTCAGGAGGTTTCAGCAATTGACTGCCATTTTTTGTTATCTTCAAACTAAGTTTGAGGGGAAGGAAGGAAGGAGGGTGTGTGTAGGTTTGTGTGTGTGTATATATATATATATATATATATATATATATAATGATGATGTATGATCTTATCAACCCTCAGGGGTAAGAAACATGGTTTTCATCATCTGTTCTCAAAAAAAATATAATTAAATCAGAATAAATGCTGTTTAATACAGCAAAGCAAAGAAATAATTTCATATCAGTGGATCAGGAGTGATTTTAAATTTGGAACATTTAGAATGAGACGA